CCTTGAGCAAGACCCTTAACCCCCAGCTCCCTGGGTGCTGCTACAGGTGGCTGCCCTTCGCTTGCTCTACAAAGAGCAAGTTGAGGGAGGTGTAAAGACAATTTCCCCACGGGGATCAATAAAAGTATTGATTATATTATTGACATAATCGATAATGACAGCCCTGTTACAAATACATGCTGACATTTGTTTCAACCGCCCCCCCCCACCCCCCCACCCTATGATCCCCCAAGCTGGCCTCAGGGTTAAATTTACAGTACAGCGGTAAGGGCCTGGTGTCTGGGTGGGGGTGGGATCTAACACTGAAGTGAGGTGTGTGTGTGTGTGTGTGTGTGTGTATGTACAATTATTACATTGTGGGGACTAAAGGATAAACCTCAGTTTTACAGAAATCTGTGAATGCAGTCAAAAAACTAAAAATGTCAAAAGTATTTTGTTTGGTTACTTATAATTAAGGTTATGGCTGGGTATTGATTAAGGTTGTTATGGTTGAGATTAGGGATATGCCCATAGAATTAAATGGAGAGTCCCTGTAAAGATACGAATACAAGGACTGTGTGCGTCTGTCTGTCTGTACACGTGTGTCTGTGCTTGTACAATTACTGACCTGTTAGTGTCAGTTAACAGGCCTGCAGGTTTGACCTCTAGGCCTCTCGTCTATCCATATCATTTCTTGGTTCGTAGCAGCAAGCATAGCATGTGTAATCATTTATTCTGCCACCCCAGGCACGAGCTGAGGGGAGCAATCAGCACCTCATTTCCTACCCATTATTTTTGTGTCTTTACACCTCTCTGTGTTTCTGCTATTTGGAAGCTTACTGTTATCTGTATGTAAGTAAGAGTTAAGGAGCACGCACAAATACAGCACGTTACTGCACCCACCACATGACAAACCATACTAACACTCCTATGCATTATGCTGCTGCAGGTTAATGAATTGCAACAATTGAAAACAAAATATTATTTTCCAGTTATGATTTTGAGACTCTATCTGGCAGTCGTTTAAAACTCTTGTAAAGTGTGGAGATATGCCACTGCGGCAGCTGAATTTACGGTAAAGCGCTTTGGCTTTTTTCCATGTGACAGCAGACTCTGCACTAGAGCAGCATTTAATAGCTACATCTTTAACACCTTTGAATGGTGGAACATTTTTTCAAAGGAACAACTATGCTTTGCAATGTGTACCACCTGAGATATTCTTTGGTGCCTCTGTATAATAATGTCAGTTAACTGACTTCATAATGGTATGTAACATAACAGTTGTTACATAGCATATATACATGGTTAGTGTTGTCACGGTACCAAAATTTTAGTATTACTAATACCAGTGAAAATCCACTGTTCTCGGTACCAATTTTGGTACCAAAGCAAAACACAAAAACATGAATTGAACAACAAGCTATTTTTATTAATAACAAACATGACTGAATAACACACTCTTCTTATTTATAAACTTAAACATTTGTATAAATTAAACAAAATATGCCATGACCGAACAATACTTTAATATTATTGTAAATAAAACAAAAACCAAGGCATTTTAAACATTTCAGTAATTAAATAACTAACTTGTCATACTTCTTCTGCTGCTGAAATGCATCTGTAATCGTTGTCTGCTTAGGAGTTCGCTTTGGTGGTTCGTGGTCTTCCTAAGCCTGCAGCTGTAAAAGGAAAATATAATATCCTTCAGTAAAACAATTTTATATTAATTTTTTATGTAACTTTTCAGTAAATAACAAACCTCAGCTTTTATAATAAATTTAGATAAGATTACTTATATTAAGTGTATGATATCAATTTTACACAGACGGAAACTGTATTATTAAAAACACTTTTAAGATTCCATTTAACATGACAACAATAAACAAGTGTTATACAGCAACTATTCTTCTTAATTTAAAAATGTATTAATACTTTTTTGTTAAATTAAAAGTTGTACCTGTTGACATTACTTAATGCATAATGAACAAACATGAACGATCAAGTGTTTGTATAAAATAACATCCACACACATTAATTAATGTTCACTCACTGTAACTTGATGTTAGATAACATATGAAGTTAATGAAGTTAATTAGTAAATGAATGGTATCTTATTGTAAAGCCTTATCAAACTATACACGACTGTATTTGACTGGACTTTTATTTAATCAAACTGCACAAACCATATTTCATAACCTAGAACTGCTATTTCGGATGGGCTGATTTTAAAGATACAAACATTAACTATACATTTGTTCTCTAACACACACAATTTGGCTACACAGGTCATTTAAAAGCCTCTGGCGTGTAAAAATAGTACGCTATTATGTCTTGTATTGAACGCTATAGGAGCATTAAATAGTTAATAAAGAAACTTGTATCTCCCAAAAAAGCATTGTGTAAATAGATGTCTTTGGTATGGTTGTGTGCTACTGCAACAACAGAACATTGCAGGAGGCATAGAGAGCTGAGGACAGAGGGCCGCAAATTGGAAGGCAAGGAGGGTCTGCATGCTCAAGGTAGCGGCTTTATGGATGCCAGCCATCTGTGACAGAGCATTGTTGATTTGCAGCTGGTACCTGCTGTACTGGTGCGGGGGGAGGGGGATGTCTGGCACCAGCTCCGTGTGTCAGGTGTAGGGATGGGACGATTATTCGATGTAATTGACGATGTTGATTATAAAAATGCGTCGACGTAGAATTTTAGTGCATTGCAGTCACAAAACATTTACATAGTCAACACTAAAGTGATAAGGGAAAGTACTGTATCCCCTCGGGAGCACGTTAACGCTGACCTTTTAAGAATCGCGCAATAAAACAGTCTGCTAATAAATTAACTGTCCACCTGATGATCTCTTCGCCACACAAGAGCTACAATATTTTATTTATTGGACCTGCGGCATGGTTTTCATTTACAATACAAAGTTATTCCGCTAATAAGTTGGCTAGTTGTTTCACTGCTGGCACCGTTAAAACTATATCAATTATAGACTGAATTCTGTGAATCTGCGGTTGAATACTTTTCCTCAAGGACCTGGATGTGTGTCACACTAGATTGAAATTGAATTTGCGAACTGAATTTTTCGAGGTAGGATAAATGCTATTTCAAGTTACTGGAATTCAGATTAAAACTATTAAATTCAGATTCAGTTTTGTAATGCGGATAACTGCAGATTGAAATATACAAAATTCATATTCAGTTTCTAGTGGCACAAATATCAGCCCATAAATAATCGGAAAAATAACTGTTTGAAGAATAATCGTTTGGGACAGCACTAGTCAGGTGTAAGTGTGGCTTTACATGGTCCAGTGTACTGGGTAACGAGGAGCTTCTCTTGGTTGTAATGTATGTAGTGCTCTGGTGTAGCAGGTTTTGGTCAGTATTTGCTCTGGCTGTTCTTTTTCAGTAAGTTCTGATTCAGGCTGTAGCGTGATCTGCTCCCATTCTGGCAGGTGGACGCGTTGAGAGTCAGTGGTTCAGCCTGTCCGTGTCTGTGTGTGTGTGTGTGTGTGTGTGTGTGTGTGTGCTGCTGTTCAGGAGGCGTGTGGACTATGGGCTCCTAGTAGAGCAGCGTTAAGGGTTAGCATGCCACTCTTTCTGTCTGTCCTAAGCAGCGTGGTTCTTAAGTTCACCCATCTGCCTGGCTGCCATGTGACAGCTGAGGCCTTGAGTGGAGTCACAGCACAGTGCTGCACCCTCACTGTGAGCATGTTGCCGCGTGTGGAGCCCAGCACTACCTATGTGGATGGAGGCTGGATGCTGTGATTAGGCACATTCTCACTGCTGCAGTCTCACAATAGGCTTCCTCTCCCCAGTACTGTGGAGCCACATGAAATATCCAGGAGATGTACCACCCCCTTCCAGATACCCTCCAGAGTGCAGGTGTACATATGGTCCAGATTACAGTGTACGTGTGGCATTCAGGCCGTAACAGGTCGGAGGAGGCCAGTTCTGCTTCACTGAAGTTGTGGTCTTTTGCTTGTTGGTTTGGCAGGTTTTTTGCTATCAGTCAGGCTAATATTTACCTGCTCCGTGCTTGTAGGGACTTCCTGCAGATCGAGCTTTGAGAATGGAGTAATGTAAATCGGCTTAACGCATGCCACATTGTGAAGCAGGCTTCTCTACGCTGTCCCTATGCTATATGGGTGCCTGAATCTGTCTGTGAGGCTTGTTTCCTTATATCACGTATGTGTCCTATGTAGAAAGTTTATTGCCAATGTTCCAGACATGAATATCAGGTGGTGCCTTTATAAGGCAGTCTGTGAAATTCCCTCTTTCCACGTTAATGTTGGATTCACCCCCGATAACCATATTCTGGCTTGTGCTTAGTCCTATGATGATAGCAACTGCTGTGGGATCTAATGGGACCCTTTTTGGTTTGACATTTTGAAGCCTCTCAAAACAGTTGAAGTTGGTTTTCCTCTTAGTATATACAGGTTTTATGCAGCATCTTAATATAAATCAGCTTCACAGCAAGAATGTTAAATGCAGGGGGAGCATAGCAATCACCATGATGTGTTTCAGCCTTCTCTCAGGTTCATACGAAAAATAGGCTCATCTTAGATGTCTCAAAAGCCATGTGCAGGAAAATGTGAGAATTTTTGATGTGTAACCTAAGTGCTGAAGTGTGATGAAGATTCCCCCCCTTTTCTTGACCTCTAAAAGTTGGCGTGGTGGGGTACACTGGATCTTTAAAAGCCATGTGATTTAGTGATTGTTGGCACCACTGGCTTTCCCCATTGAGTCGGCTGTCTGAGAGTCAGACTTGGCCTGTTTAAAAAATGTTTTGCGCCATTTCTCCTTTGTGGTGACAGGTGGGTTCTCATACAATGCTGTTAACTCACGGATACTTGTTTTGGTCTTGAGGCCTCTGGCTGTTCTCTTGGAGTACAGTGGAATGGGCAAGGAGCTGGTATCTCTCCACAGTTATGGATTATTAAGGCCACTTTCTAGAGGAATCTGTGCTGTGACCTCTGCTACCCATGTGATAACTACTCTTTCCCTCTCTGTCTCCACAGGTCTGTAACCTACCTCATGCATGCTGGGAATGAGCAGACTGGGACTCCAAGAGCAGTGCTCAGTGTTAGCAGCTTCTGCTGCCACAATGATGGCTTCTAGAATGGATGGAGGGCGACGGCACTGCTGAAGATGCTGCCTGGGAAGGTGGTTTAAGCACATGTGATAACACCCATGAAGGCTGTGAGCTTGCAAGTGACTGAGGACTAGAGTGTACAGTCACCTAAAGAGGGCGAGAAAGCTAACCTGTGTGGACGGGTGGTGTGAACAAAGGAAGTTGGACATTGGTGTACAAGAGGCAGTCTGTTACTCAAGGTGTTTCTGCAAGGGAGCTATTGTACACCAGATACGAGAACCTGGTTTGATCGATCTATATAAGCGGGATTCCGGTACCAGCTGGAAAAGGCTAGAGAGAAGAAGTACATGCTGAGTCATGGGTTATGCGGGCCATGGTGACCTAGCTTAAATGGCTTTCTACAAGCAGAACTCAGTGCTAGTATCTGTTGGTCAGCCCCACTCCTCTTCCTTCTCCGCTGCCTCAGGTTGCCACCTCCACCACTGTTTTGCTGTCCTTGAGTCCAGCTTGACCCCAACTCTGTCTGTCCCCCCCCAGCAACGCCATGATGGGCGTCTGGAAGCTGGTGCGGGGCATGAGGCAGATGGAGCTACATCGCCTCATCTTGGCACTCATAGTTTTCTGCCTGCTGTCCATGGCCTTCCTGGCTTACTATGTCAGCAACAGCCCCAAAATCAAAGAGGGCCCCCCCCTCCCCATTAGCGATTGTGGGGCAGTAGCCACATCAACAGGGGGTCAGCGCGTGCCCCTGTTTCTGCCCCCACAGGCCAACCGGCAATTTCTTAAACCGGTGGACAATTCGCGCACAGACCCTGTGGTGCTAGTGTTTGTGGAGAGCGTCTACTCTCAACTAGGCCAAGAGATTGTGGCCATCCTGGAGTCCAGCCGCTTCAAGTACCAGACAGAGATTGCTCCCGGGAAGGGTGACATGCCCACATTGACCGAAGGGGACCGGGGCCGCTATGCCCTTGTCATCTACGAGAATGTTCTCAAGTATGTCAACCTGGATGCCTGGAACCGTGAGCTGCTAGACAAGTACTGTGTGGAGTTTGGTGTGGGGGTCATCAGCTTCTTCAAGGCCAACGAGAACTCACTGTTCAGTGCCCAGCTCAAGGGCTTCCCTTTGTTCCTGCACTCGAACCTGGGCCTACGTGACTACCGCATCAACCCCGCTGCCCCACTACTTTACATCACTCAAGCCAATGAGGTGGACCAAGGCCCATTACCCGGGGATGATTGGACGGTTTTCCAGTCCAACCATAGCACCTATGAACCTGTTCTTCTGGCCAACACCCATTCTCCAGAAGCTCTGCTCCACTTAGGTTCCAGTCAGGTGGTTCATGCTACCGTGGTACAGGACCTAGGCCTCCATGATGGCATCCAGAGGGTGTTCTTTGGCAACAACCTGTCCTTTTGGCTGCACAAGCTAATCTTTGTGGATTCCATTGCCTACCTAACTGGCAAGCGGTTGTGCCTGTCTCTGGACCGCTACCTTTTGGTTGATGTGGACGACATCTTCGTAGGCAAGGAGGGCACCCGCATGAAGGTATCTGATGTTGAGGTGAGTACATGGCCTATCTTGGTAGGTAGATACTGATTAACCAGCTGTACCTGGAAGTTGTTGACCTGTGGTGGAGATTGACTGCCACTGGAAGGAGGAAGAATGTCTGAAAAAATATTTAACTTAAGTTGTACAAGAACATTGATGTATCTGTTTAAACATTTAAAATGGCTCCATTAGCCGAAATAATCCATGCCTGTCAATGCAAATGATTGGTATCTCTCTGCATTTTGACGAATCAGATGTTAGTGACACAACCAGCTTGGTTTAGTCACGCTTTCAGCCCTGCTAGTAAGCTGGGCCATGTTAGCGCGTGTATGGTATGGTTTGCATATTTTGCATTTAGAAAGCTGTCTCTTTGTGCTTCGGCTCAGGTATGGCTTAGCTCTTGGAGGCAGTGGAAAGGTGTCATATGTAGTGAGCCCACCCCCCTGTCATTTGGAACCCCCGATGTAGTAGGAAGCAGTCAAGATGATTAGTTGCTGGAACCATGACAGTAAACCTGCATTTTCAGTCACACCCCCCCATCCCCCACACCCAAACCCACCTGTTTACTTTTCCAGCAGTCAGCTCCTCTGGTGTGGTTTGGCCTGCTAGTCTGACTGCTGTGGTCTTCCTGGGCTGCGTACTGCGCATAAGAACAGGGCTTGGCATCAGTACAGGGTGGCTTTTGCCTACCATAACCCCAGTAGACAAACAGCCCCCATCCGGAATGTACCATTCCCTCTGACCCACAGGGGTGATGTGGTTCTGGGCCTCCTGTATGCATTAATGCCATGACTTATGAAACCAGTGCTATTACCCCCAGAGGGGCTAAACCACCTGGCCACTTTTACAGCTTCCTTTTTTAATCAGTTTGTGCCGATGACAGGGCTACAGGCCAGGGAGCTGGAAACTGGCATCTGATCCACACACTCCTTGATGGTTCTGCAACCTTGGCATGACCTGTAGGAGCTGTAGCAGCTTTCAGGCTCTACCTGGGGTTTTGCATACCTGTGCAGCACCTGTACTGTGTTGGCTCCTGTGACAACTCCTGAATTATACGCATGGGCTTCAAAGATTAGACATATATACAAGCTCATTTTAGTGAAATTACAAATGGATCCCGACAGCTCCTCTGTCCCCCCCCCACACACAGACACACACACACACCTGTTTACCATTGGATGTGTGATAGTCCCACCTTCCCTTCAGCCTCACTCTAGAACCACCTACAGGTTGTTCAGGCTTACGGTTAGGGTTAGCCTCCATGTTTCACTCTTTAGTCCCTCTGTCAATCAACGGGTGTTATAAAGGACACTCTGCCATGGTGTTAAGGCTGTTTTATGCCATGTCTGCTTGTCTTTAGCTACAGTAGTGAGTCATGCTGCTCCCTCTTGTTTTGCAGGCTCTCCTTAGTGCTCAAAAAAGGCTCCGCGTCCTGGTGCCCAATTTCACTTTCAACCTGGGCTTCTCTGGAAAGTTCTACCACACTGGTAAGAGCGTGCATGCCGCAGCTCATCTATCAGAGGCTGTCTTAACCCTACTGTTACAGCGCTCCCCTCCTGTCCAGCTCTATGCTGACAGTGACTGGAAGGACTACATGCTGTGTCAGACAGGGGCTCCTGTCACCATCAGCTCTGCATAATGTCTTTCTTGTGCTGCATTAGTAATAAGCGGCCATGGGGCTCTGGGGACCATTACTTTCGGTCCCAGCTCAACATGCGTTAGCGGTCACTGTTCAGCAAAGCAACGTGCCACTGCACACCTATTTTGCTGTCTCCTATGCCTGCAGGCACTGATGAGGAGGATCGGGGTGATGACATGCTGCTGCACCACAGGAAGGAGTTCTGGTGGTTCCCTCACATGTGGAGTCACATGCAGCCTCACCTGTTCCACAACGTCACTGTGCTGGCTGAGCAGATGCGCCTCAACATGCTCTTTGCCAAGGTGAGAGTCAGTCTGTGGTTTGGCTGCAGGGCCCCTTGTCAGCCCTCAGGCGTTGCCGGCGTCTCCGCTATTGGCCCCAGCTCATCTTCGAAATTAATTCGTTCGAAAACAGCCAGAATGTGATGAACACAGCCGTGGTGTTTTGGGAAGGCCTGCCGGCAGATTGAGTCTCAGTGAGAGAGGCTGGCTGGGTTCCAGCACACAAGCAGCCGAGCTGCCAAATGGAGCAGCACTGGGTCACCCTGCTACTGCTGTGCTGTGTCTTTCCTCAGTAGCCACCTGGTCGCTTGGAAGGGCAGCCTAAACTCACCTAGGGGGAGATGCCACCATCACCTTTACTCAACCATTTTAGTGATTGTGTGGCACAATTAATTGAGGAAATAGGTTAGCAATGCCCTCTAGTGGACAAACAGAACCATTGTTATAAATCAGCTTTGTGCATCACTTGATGACTCATTTTGTCTGGTGGATTGTACATGGTGTTATTTGCTTTGGAGCCATTTTCCACTGCAGTGGGTTTCTGAAAGTTGACCCCTGATCATACCCTCTACAGGAGCATGGAATTCCCACAGACATGGGCTATGCCGTAGCCCCCCACCACTCAGGGGTGTATCCCGTGCACAGCCAGCTCTATGAGGCCTGGAAGGCTGTGTGGGGCATTAAAGTGACCAGCACAGAAGAATACCCTCACCTGCGCCCCGCCCGATATCGCCGGGGCTTCATCCACAATGACATCATGGTGAACCCCCCCCCCCCCAACTCACTTTTCCTGCCTAAGTTTAAAAAACTTCTTGCCGTCAGTCTCTCTCTTCCCCTTCCTCCACTTCATGTGCCTATTGCTGCTGCCCTGCTGCACAGGTGCTGCCCAGACAGACGTGTGGCCTATTCACACACACCATCTTCTATAACGAGTATCCTGGGGGCTCCCGTGAGCTAGACAGGAGCATCCGGGGGGGGGAACTGTTCCTCACGGTCCTGCTCAACCCGGTGAGTGCTGTTCAAGTCTTTCCTGATCGACACTGACCTCGCTGTCTGCTGTATAACAGCCTTTATCAGCATTATGGCACTATAGGCACTTTCCTACTGAAGTTCAGGAACCTGGTCCCTGGTTCCGAGTTCCTGGGCTGTCTCAACCTGGTACTTTAGTCATTACTAGCCAGTTTGTGTGTTGGTTTCCCACCACACAACAGGAACCGGGACCTTTATGTTAAACAAGCATGGAAGATGCAAAAAGCTTGTAGGTTTAACTTCACATATAATTTCATATGAAACTACACTGGCACCCCAAAACAATGGAGGATGAACAAGTTGTTTTGTTAGTTGTTAGTTACTGGAGTTTGGGTCAAGGGATCCAAAAATGCCTGACAAATCATGTCCTGAATTGGTTCAAAATGGGACACAGCATTTTATTTTAAATTTTGGGATCACACATTAAAATACAGGATGGGTGGCAACTACTTATGAGAGGTCTCAAACTACCAGCCTGCTATGTAGTTTTATATAGCCCACGACATGTTTCTAATTCATTATTAAATCTGTCCTTTCATTTTCTACAGAGTAAAAACATTGCAGCGTGATTAAGTATCTAAAAAGGATCTGGTTCCTAAAAAAAGTTCCTATGATGGGGAAAGGGCCTTGTGTAGACCCCTGGAGCCAGAAATAAGGCCAAAATCATTTTGCCTGCTAACTCACTGTTTAACATAAAGGTCCCCGTTCACTGAAGTTGTGTGGCTCAGTGTGTGGGGACAATGCTCCTGTGGTCAGATACCACAGTCGGCAGTGTGTTACCGAGATGATTTCACAATGGCTTATACAATTTATACCAGCTTAAGAGTCCTCATCATTATGTAAAGAGTAGGGTGTTATTAGTTATTCTATAGTGAACTGTGAGACCATAACATGGCGCTTCTGGCTGTCGGTCCTAACATAGACGTCTTCTTCCACTTTTATCCAATTGTGAAGGCTATATGCTAATGGAACCTGAATGACCAAACTAAAATAAATGGCTGTTAATGAGCCTTGAGTGTTAGCATCCAGCCTGCATGTAACACAAGTCTTGGGCATTGAACCTAGGGGAATGGCCTTCTGTCTTACTGATTGCTGCTCCACGTTGTTGCATGTCGAGTCCTCCTCCAGCTGTGTGTGCCTTGCTTCAATTTTCACTGGCCCATCTGTAATCGGGCATGATCCTTTCTAGTGACCCTGCCATCTGCTTGCCTCCATCTCATGCCTTCAGATCAGCATCTTTATGACCCACTTGTCCAACTATGGGAACGACCGGCTGGGTTTATATACCTTTGAGTCCCTGGTCAAGTTTGTGCAGTGCTGGACCAACCTGCGGCTCCAGACACTGCCTCCAGTCCAGCTGGCTGAGAAGTACTTCACCATCTTTCCTGAAGAGAGGGACCCCTTGTGGCAGGCATGTAGAATGGCATCTTTGATGTAATTGCTGTATCAAAACCAGGTCATACTTCACTTTTCCGTGTGCGCTTTTGGTTGTGGATAAGTGGAAATTATGAAAATTTTGTCATCAGGGGTTAGCTGTGGATAGCAATGTGCGTGAAGTTCTGATTTTTATGTGTAGTGGAAATTGTGCACATCCATGCTCATGGTGTTGTAGCAATGGTGAGCAGCTGAGGAGTTGGGTTGGAGGTACACGCGTATCTAATTTTTCATACTGTCTGGACACTACACCAAGGTATACGATATTTTTAGAAGCTGTACTATTGTGGCATTTTGAAATCTTGCCAATAAAATTTGTCGGGGGGTGTTCCCAACTAATTTCGTTGTAAGGATTTCAATATACCATGGTATCCCATATTACCATAGTACCGCACAAGCCTAAACTATTAACTTTAAAAATGTTGATAAAAGTTTACCCATTTCACTATCCTGCTTGTATTTGTGTTTAGTTGCAATACCCTTTGCAATGCCCTCTCCTGGTCTGGTGGAATATCACTGCTATATGCATGCACCGACCGGGACCATCTGCATCCGCAGCCAAATTAAGTATGAACGCAAGCTGCCATGCACACAAGCATTCACAGCCCAAAAGCGCACACAGAAAAGTTGAAGTATGAATTTGCCTTGAACAGGGAATATGTTTTAAATCCCCATCATGCAATTAGAGCTTTTCATAATGTAAGCTTCATTACTTAGAAGTTTTAATAATAAATTATGAAGGTATATATTTCAAGTCTTGTAGGTATTTTGCATGTAACTGGTATCCACTTTGAAATTTTTATTGTTCACTGGTAAAAAGAGTGGAAATAAGTAGCATTGTCACTTGGATCTTACTCCTGCTTCTCTCTGCAGAACCCATGTCATGACAAGAGACATAAGGACATCTGGTCCAAGGAGAAGACTTGTGACCGGCTACCCAAGTTTCTGGTGATTGGTCCTCAGAAAACAGGTATGATAAAAAGGCATAGACCAGTCTCTTACTTGGAAGGTTGCATTAACTTCAGTTAATGCTGATTGGTTGTTAAAGAAGAAACTGGCCTGGGGCATATTAATGCGGACAGGGAGGTGTAATGAAAGACATTGACGTTAGCATGCCTGATGGTTTGCTGCTCCTTTTAGGCACCACGGCGCTGTACTCTTTCCTAACCCTACACCCGGCCATCACCAGCAACTTCCCCAGCCAGTTCACCTTTGAAGAGATCCAGTTCTTCAGTGGATCCAATTATCAACATGGCATTGACTGGTAACCATGTCATCCGCCTTCCTTGTGGCTGGCTGGGTGCGCCTATGAGCCCGGTTTGTGGATGTGATCAGTGACACCTTCTTCCTGCAGGTACATGGATTTCTTTCCATTCCCTTCCAATGCCAGCACTGACTTCCTGTTTGAGAAGAGCGCCAACTACCTTGACTCTGATGTGACCCCAAGGAGGGCTGCTGCCCTGCTGCCTCGGGCCAAAATCCTGGTAGTACTCATCAACCCAGTGGACCGGGCGTACTCCTGGTACCAGGTGAGTCCAAAAAAAAAAAGTTTTAATGGACTCCAAGAGCGGAATGCTTGAGTTTTTGCTTGGGTAGCTCTTATATTCTGTATGTTATGTAACCCGACTGGCATGTCAAATTAGGTGCATTGTCTCACACTTCTTCTGATTCTTTGTCCCTAGCACCAGAGGGCTCACCAGGACCCAGCTGCCCTAAATTATACATTCCATCAGGTTGTGTCAGTGGGTCTTGACTCTTCCCCTGAGCTCCTGACCCTTCAGCATCGCTGTCTGGTACCTGGGGCCTACGCCATGCACCTAGACCGCTGGCTGCGCCACTACCCTCCTAGCCAGGTGTTTACCCCTAACCCCACCCCCCCAGCACTGCCTGCTTTGCCCAATGTTCTTCCCCTGTGACCTCTGGCCCTCTGCCCCTTAGCTGCTGGTTGTGGATGGTGCAGTGCTACGGTCAAACCCTGTGCAGGTGATGGAAGGTGTCCAGAGGTTCCTGGGAGTCACGCCTATCTTCAACTACACTCAGGTCCTGGTGTGAGTGAAGCCTTCCTGAATCCCAATTGCTGGCTATGGCTGTCCTCTGACATTGTGCTTCTTGCCTACAGGCTTGATAACTGTCTTGTTCTTCACAGATTTGATGAAAACAAAGGCTTCTGGTGTCACAGGGTGGAAGGGGGCCGTCCCAAGTGTCTGGGCAAGAGCAAGGGCAGGAAGTACCCCGAAATGGCCGTAGAGGTACCCCCCTGCCAAATTGTGTTGTTTGAATTACCGGTAGCTGCCCCGACAGCAGGGCTGGATGTAGTGGAAGTTGCAGGAGTCCAGTGGACCCTGGTGAACATGCAGTCTATGACATTGTGTCACTAGGGATTGATAGCACATAGCTATGCTGGGTCCCATTTCTGAGGCGCCTCCTGTTGACTAGCCTCCCTGTATTGCAGACGAGATCCTTCCTGTCTGAGTATTACCGCGAACACAACATGAAGCTGCTGAAGCTCCTGAAGCAGCTGGGCCAGGCACTGCCCACCTGGCTGAGGGAGGAGATCCAGAACACCAGCTGGAGCTGAGAATGGGGGTTCAGGCAGGGGATGAGGTGATGGGAAGGCTCCTTCTGCCATCACCCTCTGGCCAGGATGATCCTTTCTCTGTTCTGTATCCCTTTGTAGCAATGAGTCCCCATTTCTGGCTCGATGTGGCAGCGGCCACAGGACTGGAGTCTCAGCACAGACTCACCGTGCTGACATCTGTTGAACTTTGGCCTCTGGCAGTTGCACTGTTGGCAAGCAAGTGGATGTGAGAACTCTTACCCTCCCAACCACCAGCCACAGAACTTGAGGCCTGAGAAGGAAACATATGGACACAAGATGGTGACTTGGGATACAGTCATGGTCTTCCTTTGGAAGAATGTAAAATATTGTACATGTTTTTTTTTTAAAGTGGTTGTATATTTTGGGTTAGGGTAGGGTGGGTCACAAGGTCTTAATTAAAGCAGACACAACAAAACTAGTCCCGTGGATTGCTGGATAAGAGATGCTTTCTTTGGTCTGCTCTCTGCCTACGACTGATACACACACACTGCCACTCCTCTACAGACAATCAGACAAGCCTGCAGGGGCCTGCTTTGTGCAGGGGAGAGTGGGCGTAGGGCCCCGGGACACGGCTATTAGACAGTACCATAGATCAGTGTTTCCCAACCCAGTCCTCGGGGAACCCCGGACAGTCCACATTTTTGCTTCCTCTCAGCTTCCAGTGCACATGTACCAGGTATTCGGTGTTCCTGATTGGCTGGGAGGGAGCAAAAACGCAGATTGTTCCACGAGGACTGGCTTGGGAAACACTGCCATAGATGGTGGGACAGGGGTCAAGAGTCCATATCAAGAGCTGCTGTCTTGGTTGTATATTTTGGGTTAGGGTAGGGTGGGTCACAAGGTCTTAATTAAAGCAGACACAACAAAACTAGTCCCGTGGATTGCTGGATAAGAGATGCTTTCTTTGGTCTGCTCTCTGCCTACGACTGATACACACACACTGCCACTCCTCTACAGACAATCAGACAAGCCTGCAGGGGCCTGCTTTGTGCAGGGGAGAGTGGGCGTAGGGCCCCGGGACACGGCTATTAGACAGTACCATAGATCAGTGTTTCCCAACCCAGTCCTCGGGGAACCCCGGACAGTCCACATTTTTGCTTCCTCTCAGCTTCCAGTGCACATGTACCAGGTATTCGGTGTTCCTGATTGGCTGGGAGGGAGCAAAAACGCAGATTGTTCCACGAGGACTGGCTTGGGAAACACTGCCATAGATGGTGGGACAGGGGTCAAGAGTCCATATCAAGAGCTGCTGTCTTGGTTTTTTTTTTTTTTGTGTATTTTGTAAAAATGGTCTCTAAAATGAAACAAGTACCAATGCAGTATCATCTCCAATAAATGCAGAGAGGTTGGCGGCATCACTTTTCTGTTTTTTCCTCATTTCCTTGGTCTGCTAGTGTGCAGATGTACTTTATTTTGTGATTAAAATCCCCTTCGTAAATGCCCTGCTGGACAGTGCTTCTTTTTGGTGGACATGTGATGCACTGCAGCCAGAAAGCTGTGTGGCTTCGTGCTTATGTCACTTGATTGTGTACCTGTATGGCAGCAAGAATTGCCTAATATGTCCTTCACTTGCATCTGTGTATGAAAGTGTGTCTTGTGCAGCCTCTCAAGATGGTTCCGTACCTTAATCATCATCCCAGCTGCATGATAAATTGGTGTGAAAATGTTAAGTAGGTTGATTAACCAGAATTAAACAGTTAACAAGTGACTTCTTTAAAATGCCTTTGAAGCATTTAATTCCCCAGAGGCCTTAAGTCTAAAGGGCATTTCCTTAGAACAGCCATCAGCCTGACTGCTCACCTGGTTCTGCCCGATCGCTCACCCAGTGGAGTGTGCAGGTTCCAACGGTGTGTGGCCTCCAGTGTCATTGTCTTTGGAGCCCCTGGATGGTAGTAGTTGGGTGTCATGCCTGTCTAATGAATTTGCAGAATGAGCAGAGAGTAGGGCTGGGCGATATCATTCCTCCTCTTCTTCACCGCATATTGCACTGAGGTATACCAAAAGGTAGTATACCAAAACAGTATTATGTGGTGTGCTCCATTAATCGAATTTAAGAAACAAAGTTTATACAGATTACTAACTTTTGGGTGTCACAAAACGCATCTCATTCATGTTTAAGCCATACTACATAATCTTCTTACCAAATTATGGGCGGAAATTAATGTCCGTATAGCACCAAAAAGCTGGCATCCAGCCAAAAGCTTCCACTTGAATGCTTTCATGTGAAGCCCTGGTGATTATTGTGCATACGTGATATAATATCGATATGATATCGCCCAGCCCTAGCAGAGAGCACAGGAAGTTCTGCTGTGTCATAATTGGGGGGGGGGGGGGGTCAGCTGCTTACTTGCTGTGGAGCTGCAGCGACAGCAAATACAGTACAGTACGGTAGAGTAAGACACCTGGTTGGATGCCGTCTTTGTGTTCTTATCCAAGGCACATGTGTAAATGGATTTCTTGAATTTGGCTCCTGCATCGAGAGCCACAGCCTCCTGTCTGTCACCCAGGTGGGCTGAGGTCTACTTGGTGTGTTGCTGCCTCGTTCGGATCCATTAAGTGTTCAGACAGAAGTAATCAATGGTATTCTGTGAACTGAGGGTCACGCTCTCTGACTAACTCTTTGCCCCACTGCCCACCCTGAAGAGTCCCCAGTCTAATAGTTTACTGCTCTGACATTTTGATAATGAGCACAGCCAAAGCTCAAACAGTATATTGAGTTGAATGTATAATTCATACTTTGCGACTCATTTTCTCATCAGCATTAGTTCTCTCGTGTTACATAGGTAATGAAATAAGCTGCCCTTTAAAGGATGACGAACAAGCCACGGTCGAAATATTATTTATTAAATACTTTCAGATCAGGTTTCAATAACAAAGCTATGAAGAAGACCTACAAACATTCAAACACCTGGTAAGTTTGCTTAACTCATGGTTTATTTTTTTATATGATCATGCAAAATCCAGCATCCAATTTGAAACTCGAATATATGAAGCCCCTAAGTGTACTATTACAATGCAGGAGTTTACTAATAAGGGGACATACCAAGCTAAGGTGAGCTTCTCAAGTGTCTCACATCACGCATATGTGAGGCTGCACAGTTTGCATTTACCTCAGATGCAACTAACTTCTAAGTAAACACAAACTGAAAAACATTTTACCAGAAAGTAGACATGCATATTTCCTTCTCTTGTAAAACTGCATATATGGTTTTGTTACACTGTGGCTTACGGTTCCCTTAGTATTGTGTGTCAGGGCTCTGCAGCAGTGACTGTGTTTCAGTTTAGTGTCCTCCGTGTTCCTTTTTTTAATAATGTAAACTGGACTTTAGCTTGATCTTTCCCCAAATTCGCACTCACTCACACACGCGCACACGCATGTAATGAAAACACTTTACCAGGCAACCAGTTCTCACAGCGCAAGTCACACGTTGAAACGACTTAGAACATCACATCATCTAGTACACTGCAACATGGAGACAGTGTCAGGTGTTTAACTCACAGAGCTAACATTGTGTTACACAGCACAGTTGGGGGGGTGTTACACAGTGTGAAGAAGGCAGAGCATTATTTTTCTTTCTCTTAAAAGGAATCAGAGATCCTGGGTGTTCACTACCTGACTGGCATGATGGAGCAGGTCAACACAGCATCGATAGGTGGAGTGGCAGCCAGGAAACGCCCCAAGCGTCACAAGTCACACACGTCTACTTGACAGTGAAAACGGCATGTTCCGACGTTTATCCATCACAGCAATATGGTTTAATTTTGAAAGGAGCTATTGCTATATATGCAAAGTGTCCCTTTCTCTGTTCCCAGCCTGCCTTCACCTGACCAAGAGAAGCAGAGTCAGCCTTGCACAGTCAAAGCAGCCTGTCTCTCAGCCTGGGCTTGCTGCAGGAGAGCTGAGTCTGTGGAGTGGTCCATGTGTGCACATAGTTGGGATTAGGGACAGGAGACTTGTCAAGACTAGTTCTTCTGCACTAGACCCAAACTCTGTGTGGCCCTCATTGGCTGCCTGGCCTGGAGCAGTCGGGTGGTGCTAAGCAGAAGGGTCCATTGAACATTCCTTCTGTGTTCGGTCTCGTGTGCTAAACAGTGCAGGTAATTTGCTTTTTTCCCTTTTCCCCCAGGATGGACTGAACAAAATTTCAGTTGCTTAAACTCTATTCAGACAAAGTAGCCAAAGGCTCCCTAGTGTGTAGCACCCCCTGGAGTAGTGAAAGTGCTATCATCTACCTTTGTGAAGCTGTTTCAGCAACGCTAATGCTACATTCTACTGTTTTAGCACAAATGGGCCTTATCCCAATGACAGAGCTGCCAGGCTTGGGGCAGAGGCCGGGCCTCTTATGCAACATTACGTTCCCACACCCAGAAACAGTGGGTGCCCTATGTTGTCTACATGTACGTCTTCAAAAAATTAATTTTCTTGAAACACAAAACTTTCAATTCATCATTCAGGAGATAAAAAGCAAGTGTCATTTCACAACACACAATACAAAACCTGCCCCACCCCTCACACAAAAAAGTAAAACAATATCAAATACCTAAAGTCTACACTTTGGTGCTTTTTAATTATAATGTTCAAATAGTTTTTTTTTTCTTGCTCTGACTTGCATTCAAACATCTAGATATGCATTTAAAAATTTGAAAACCAAATTTCGGCACCTAAACACTAATGAGGGTGAGTGCATAAAATCATCTTGAAAATGACTGCAGCTCCTGTTCCACATACGTACATAAATGTTTAATTCTGATATATTTTGCTGAACAAATATTTAACACTCTTTGGACAGCTTTAATGGGCAGAAAGTTTGATCTGACGGTAAAGGACAAGATGTCACCTCCATGTGAGCATCAGAAGCATGTACCATCTGGAGGGCGGAGTCACAGCAGAGGCTGGCTCCCACCATCTTGCTGGAACTGGGTGGGTGGGGTATGGTGGTCATGGTGCTGCAGTCGTTGGTTCTCATTTTAAAGTGTTTTAGCCTTTTGTGGTCTCGTCTGACCAGACTCCTGGCGCTGATGCAACCTCTGATAAGAAATGCTCCAGTTAGCTTCAGGATTCATGCAACCTGTCAGAGGAAGAGAGTGCAGGTGAGTTGCTGGTCACAGCTACGAAAGAGGCTGCAAGCCTTCGGGTACACCTTGCAAACAAGCTTAACCGTGTGTATTTCTGTAAGCCTGAGGAACTCTGTTATGCTATTCCCAATTACACTTAGCCTTTCAGTTCACTGGTATCTTTTGTTTCTCCTGTGGTTGTGAGGGGTCTTGTCTAGCATCCCTGCCAGATGTGAGCTTCCAGCCTGACAGAATCCTTAGAAAACCACATTCTATTCCATTTGATGTTCTTGGTTATTCACTGCAATTTAATGCAGCTTTTCAAGTCAAGTCAAGTAGGTTTGATTGTCATTTCAGCCATATACACAGTATACAGTGAAACAAAACATTGTTCCTCCAGGACCAAGGTGTACAAAAACAAAAGGGCAGAAACAACACAGGGTTACACAAGTGCAATTTACAGGACATGACAACACAGTGCAGTTGACAGTAGTGATCGTGCCAGTTTGAATGGATATTGATATTGGATATTTTAAATAGTAATAATAGATGATAAATAAAAGTGCAGAAGTGCAAACAGTAGCAGCAGGACAGGTAGTGTGGAGTATGGGGGGGTGGCTGTGCTCAGCATGGTGGTACTGGAGATGTTCCTGGCGATCCCGACTAACTGAGGTCTCCCATTCAGGAAGTCCAGGATCCAGTTGCAGAGGGAGGCGCTCAAGCCCAGTAGTCTCAGCTTTCCTGTCAGATGCTGAGGAATGATTGTGTTGAGTGCTGAACTGAAATCTATGTATGGCATTCTTACATAAGTGTCCTTTTTGTCCAGGTGGATGAGGGCCAGGTGGAGGGTGGTGGTGATGGCATCATCTGTTGAGCAAATGCAGTGATACGCAAACGGCAGGGGGTCCAGTGAAAGGGGCAGCTGTGATTTTATGTACCTCATGACGAGCCTCTCGAAGCACTTCATGATGATTGGTGTAAGTATGACAAGACCGTAATCGTTCAGGCAGGACACTGGGGACTTCTTAGGCACAGGAATGATGGTAGTGGCTTTGAAGCACATTGGAGGGACAGTGATGTTCAGAGAGATATTGAATTGAAGATGTCTGTGAGGACATCTGCCAGCTGCTCTGCACATTCGCTGAGCACAAGACCTGAAATGTTGTCTAGTCCAGTGGCCTTCCGTGGGTTGACTCTGAGCAGAGTTCTCCTCACATCAGCCGTGGCTAAGCAGAGCAGCTGATCATTGGGGACCAGGGTGGTCTTTGTTGCTGCCGTGTCATTCAGTGCTTCAAACCGTGCATAGACATGATTCAGTACATCTGGAAGGAAGACCTCATTATCACAGGCAGGTGAAGATGTCCTGTAGTTGGTGATGGCATGGATGCCCTGCCACGTGTTGTATTTCCCCAGTGTCTTGAAAGTGGCTGTGGATTCTCTGAGCATGTACACACATTGCTGCTCTGATGGCCTGGGACAGATTGGCCTTTGCTCTTCTCAGGGCAGCCTTGTCACTGGACCTGAAGACAGTCTCTCAGGTTCTCAGCAGTGCACGCAACTCTGTAGTCACCCATGGTTTATGGTTGGGGTGTGTGACGATGGTTTTGGAGACAGCAACATCATCAATGCACTTGCTAATGTAGCTGGTCACTG